GGTGTGTGCAATTGATGCTGCGGGTATTACCTCTCTTTACAGAGATGCCTAGTGATGTATCGATTGACTCCTGGCTCCATATGTGATATCCTGGTCTGCTGATGAGATCCAGTCATTTTGTTTTTCGGATTCTTTTTCTCAGATTTTGAGATATTTGATTGCATTATGGTACTTTGTTAAATGGCCTATGGGTATCCACCAGTATTACATATGTGATAGAACTGGTTCAACACATTCCAAATATACTTGCAACACAGAAGTCTTTGCTACGGTTGATCTGTAACAAAGCCTTGAAGATAAGGGGAGTGACGCAAACATCATTAATGGTTTCAGTTCTCATTGATTATTAAAAGATATAATAGGAAATTCACTGTTTCTTGGTTCCTGAGAATCGAGGTTTCTGAGAAACACAGTGTTATTCTGTGACCAGTTTTCAGACGATAATTTCTGATTCATTCGGTAACTCTACAACACCATTGTCGTTTTCGTGTATTCTCAATAACTACGACAACATCATTTTCTTCTAGAGGTTCCTTTTGGCAAGGAAGAAGGGTATGAAGATATTACGTTTCTAAATAATTTTAAAATTGTTGACATCTGCCGTTGTCAAGGTTTTGGAGCTGTTCAAATGATTAATACAGGTGGGGCGAGTAGGAGTGACAGTGGATTGTTAGGATCGAGACTAAGCATCAGTCAGCTTTTAGAAACATTTGCTTTCAATTCACTATTGTCCGATAGTGGATTGTGTTTGGCTGTGAAGAGTTTGTGTTCTTATAAGAATACAAGTAATGGTTTGTCATCGAGGTAGTTATATTTACAGCCATTTTGAATAAAGCGACCATATATTGGAATATCTCTTGGCCGAAAACCTAAATTTCAATATATTACCCACATATTTAAGGAGCATTGTGGTTTTCCCGCCAAAATGAGCACCCGTTTTGAATTTGGCAGAATTTAGCCGTCCCTAGGGATACCCATGTCCATTGGATTCAGTAGGTTGAATTCGTTCAGAAACCACATTTAATCCCTGAGCATTGGTCAGTTTTTTTTTTAGATAGCCACACAATGCCCCATGGCGGCTATATCCATAAAATAAACATTAGGTTGACTACATTTCCATGTCAAGGCTTATAATGGGGATCGGTTGCCGGACTAATTTATAAACTGGCAACTCAATGTCATGAAATGGCGCCTCTATGCTATCAAAATCAAGATTCCATTTAATTTATTCAAAGAATAACAATGGGTCTGTTTGTTATTAGTTTAATAGTAATAGTATTTGGTACACCCTCTATAAATGATTTTGTATTGCAGTAAATATATGATAATGAACTAATCGCTCTTCTACAAACATATATCAGACTGATACGTATTTGGAATTGGTGAAATTTGTTATGAAATCGATTACTATACCTTTTGATATCTTTTGATAAATAGTTGACATTAAATATATTTACGTGAAAATGTATTGGAAAACATTATACCGCAACAATTGTTAAAATATTTTCCCCCACGGATAAAATAAAAGAACATATAAGAACAACACCAAATGTTTGTGGTTTCTCTAGCAGTTGCGGATCTGATGGTGGGTGGATTTTTGATTCCCATGCAAATTTGTCGGTATATTCCATACGTATCCGAAACATTAGATGCCAGCAACTAAGTTTGTGATCTTTTCAACGGCAGGCGCTTCGTCTGTATTTTTCATGATAGCAATTACGTTTGATTGAGCATTATACATTGGATATCCTCTTTGTTATCAAGAATTGGCAACCGCCTCAAAAGCAAGACTTGTAATAACCGTAGGGTGGCTATGGTCTTTAATTTTGGGAACACCACATGCCTACTACAGTAATTGGGACAGTTGTGAATTCTGCCAGACTTCATAAAACGTTCAAAATGCATCCTTCTTTGTTGCTTTTGTATTAACCAGCGTTTGTTATGGATTTATCCTGAAAACTGCCAGTAAGCAATAAAACCAGATTCTTCACAGCCAAGTTCCAGAAGCATAAAAAAAATTGAAAATGACCTAAAACTTGTGAAGTTATTTTTACTTGTGTTTGGAATTTTTGCAGTTTATTGGCTACCAATGATACTTGCTGTGACGATCGACCAATTGATACATAGTGTTCCTGGAATAGTGCTGTATATTACAACCCCACTCTGCGTGTTGAATTATGGCATACATTTTATTATGTATGCTATTTAGAATACTGATTTCCGTCAAACATTTTACAAAATACTTAGTTTTAAGACAAATATCTCCCCACAAAACACTACTTAATGTTAGATTCTTGTAAATAATAAACCTCTCGGGCATCATTTAGCGTCAATGGAGATGTTTAGACGTATTCTTATAATATTTGTAATGTCATAGCTGTTGTTAATTTTGTTTTAGTGATGTATTATTATTTCATGAGTTTTATTATTAAAAACACAGCGTAAAGTTAATATTTAAACTAGCTAAATCGCTAATATTTGGGACCAAGAAATTGACACAAATGGGTCGCAACGTATATAATAATGTAATATGAATGTAAATAAACAGATTTACATTTAATCGTTTCCGTTTTTACTCTAATTTCAAAGCAGTTATGTTCGGCGAAATACGCCAGAAGTCTCAATCGAATGGCAATCTTTAGCGTCTGGTTATTCCAGTCTACACCGATAGTATTTATTGCGCATGCTCTCCGGATAAGAATATGAGGTCACCGTTTCACATGACTTGTGGAATATGTCTAACCTTGTTCATCCGAGTCGCTTGTATCAAATTGCGCTGAAACGCATTATGGTACACGATTCGTGTACCAATCGTAAAATGTTTATTTAGTCTTAAATATTGGATATCAGAAGCCCATCTTTTCCCGGTAAGATCACAACACCAATGTTTATTAAATTGACAAATTATTCATGTTTTCATTGTCGAAGGTTTTGGAGCAGAAAAGTAGGACGTTAAACCCCATTTCATTTCATTTCATTTTGAAGGTTTTGGATGATATTGAGTTAGAGACTTAGCTACTTTAAGTTCACATTTAAAATGATGTGGTCAATTCAGAATAATATCAGAAAACAATATATAATTATAGTCACAGCAGTAATAACTCATGGCTACGCACTAATCAATCTTTTTCCGGGTAAAAATTATGTCTGTTTGTTGATCTCTTATTCATTTGCCATAGACTGACCAGTGGTTTTCTACAAAATAGAATCAAAACCTTCTGTATACGGTGTCTGATCTAACTGGAGGTTGGGCATGGCGGGGCGGGGCGGGCCTGGCGGGGCGGGCCTGGCGGGGCGGGGCGGGGCAGGGTAAATGTCAAGAATGAAATGATGAAAAAGGATTGCTTTCCAGTCTTAGAAATAATGAAAGGTGTCACACACTTATAAAATTCACGTTTTTAATTTGTCAGGCTGTCAGAGACCGCTTTGTTATAGTCTCGAATATGCATGCGAGAAAGATCGTGTACGCGATTATCCAAACAGGAGTGAAATTGCTATTTGCGACAGGTCGTGAAAACGAATGTATTCAGATAAATAAACGTCTCTTGATTAGGAGTGCAATTAGAATCTTAATTGTCTAAACTGAGCATGCTAATCCGTTAAATACAGTTATACATAATTGATAGAAACACACACATGAAACGATTATGAAAAATACTTATTGATACTTTTCAGAGCATGATATTGACTGAATGAACTGTCCTAAACTGGGTATCACTTTGTATAGTGGTTTCTGTCACTACTCGATTTGGCTGAATTCATCTGCTGGACCTTGTTTTTGACCATTGTTTAACATCAAGTGTGCTGACCTATTGTTACACAAATTCTGTGACAGAGGCACTATCGATGCTAATTTCAATGATTGGAGGACTGTTGATACCCATGCAGTTTCTTCTGTACATGCCGTCTTTATCGGAAATCGTTTATGGGAGTAAGGTGTATTGTATTATTAACCACATGACATATATCATTTCAGCAAGTCTATCAATTTATTTTATGATGGCCATAGCTTTTGATCGAGCTATCTACATCGGATATCCACTTCGTTATCAAACGATATCGACAGTTGCAAGGGGGAAAATGGTCATTATCGGAGGATGTTTCGTATCCATCATTCATGGTACGCTGGCGATTTACTATAATAATTGGAATAATTGCAAACTTTGCCTTACCTTTCGGATTCTGAAGGTGGGGTATCATATCTACATGCTTATCATCAGTTTCTTTTTACCGAGCATATTAACAGCTGTATGCTATGGCTACATTTTAAAAATAGCAAGACAGCAACAGAAAGAAACCACATGCCGTCAAGCTCCTAATGCGAGGAAACGTTTTGAGAATGATATGAAACTTGTGAAGTTGTTTCTGTCGGTGTTTGGAATATTTTTAGCCTGTTGGGTACCAAATGTAATAGTTATGATGGTAGAGCAGTTAACAGATACTGTTCCTGGATTTGTAATGCAGATGGTGACACCTCTTGCAGTACTGAATTCTGGAATGAATTTTATTGTGTACACGGTTAAAAATGCGGGTTTTCGTCAAGCCTTTTACAAAATACTTGGATTAAAATGCTCAGTTAACCCGAATTGGGTGATAACAAATGAATAAATTATCCAAACATCTTTGTTTCCAGAAAGGCCAGTAGTAAACTCAGTTTAAATGTCTGTATGTGTATAGCACTTTCAAAGATACGTTGTTTTTGTTGTTTATTCCAAATTAATTTTCCTAATCGACTAGATTTTAAATAGTAAATGAAATAAATTCACTCAGTTTTTGCCGGAAAAGATATTGTAATGCATAACATACATAGAGTCATATGAAGACACGTAGCTCTATTTGCCCAATATAGGTATGTGACGTTCATTTGAATCCAGACCCTATAGCCCTGTGTAATAAAGGCTGGTCTCTAGATGGTAAAACCAGTTATGGTATATTGCTTAATCTCGGTCATCTGCGAGATGAATTTTGTGGGACAATCCAGTTCTCTCCTTTTGCGTCCCATGGTCAATGTTAGAGAGGTAAATACCAATTCAAACAAATGTCCATTTAATTGATCAAATCGTCTATATGGATCTACAAGGACTGCGTATTGTTGGAAAACATGTGTGAGATTTATTCTAACTGGTTCAGTGTTTCTAACCATTTGGAATGCTTATATAACTGATCCTATGGTCTAGAAACATGATTGGCAAAAATATAGATTGTAAAAATCAGAAACAATAAACGAAACGAATTTGTTATCTGATTGTTTTTATTATATTTTATAAAGAACCAAATGTATAATATTCCATTATTTCAATTCATGTTATAATAACAATATGTCATGTTTTATTTTATTGGCTATATTTTAATTTTGTATTAGATAATGAACTAACCACTCTTCGACAAACATATTTTTCCAGGCGGATATTTATTCTGTATTGATTTAATTTGTAATAGAATCGATTACTTTACATTTAGTTTACTTGCTCTCCTTTACTTGTATCTAATGGGTTTAACATTGCTTAAAAGCTTTAACGATAATATGTTGACATTATTTATTTGCGTGAAGCTCAATTGGAAAACAGAACACTCTGCTGTGTTCTCAACAAGATAAAGCTGGATAGATTTAACATTACAAGGAACAAAACTGGTCAGATTTCTGATAGAACATTTGCACAGTACTGACTATTATTTTACGAATTCAGAAGATTCATGATGAGTAGCGATTGTACACATATGAAATATTCTCCACCGAGTAGCGTCGAACTTGTGGTATTTCCTATACTCTATATATTGCTGAGTTTATTTATCTGTGGTGGAAATATTTTAACAATTGTTGCCGTATGGAAAAATACAGTTTTAAGAACAACGCCGAATATGTTTGTGGTTTCTTTGGCAGTTGCTGATCTTATGGTTGGCGGATTAGTGATCCCCATGCAAATTTGTCGGTATATTCCATCCATATCGGAAACATTAGAAACCAGCAAGTTGTTTTGTGTTATTAAGTTTGTTATATTTTCTACCTCTGTCGCATCGTCTGTATTTTTTATGATGGCAATTGCGTTTGATCGGGCATTATATATTAGATATCCTCTTCGTTATCAAGAATTGGTAACCGCCTCAAAAGCAAAACTTGTAATAATCTTAGGTTGGCTATGGTCTTTAATCTTGGGAACGCCACATGCCTACTACAATAATTGGGACAGTTGTGAATTCTGCCAGGCTTCTGTCTTCATAAAACCGAATTATCAAGTCTACATTCAAAATGCATTCTTCTTTGTTGCTTTTGTATTAACCAGCATATGTTATGGATTTATCCTGAAAACAGCAAGGAAGCAACAAAACCAGATTCTTCAAAGCCAAGTTCCAGAAACAAAAAAGAAATTTGAAAATGACCTAAAACTTGTGAAGTTATTTTTACTTGTGTTTGGAATTTTTGCAGTTTGTTGGCTACCAATGATACTTGCTGTGACGATCGACCAACTGATACAAAATGTTCCTGGAATTGTCTTATATATTACAACTCCACTCTGCTTGTTGAATTCCGGAATGAATTTTGTTGTTTATGCTATTAAGAATACTGATTTCCGTCAAACATTTTACAAAATACTTAGTTTTAAAAATTTGCTCTAAAATTAAAATGTCCCTAGAAAAATCTTAAATTTAGATTCTGGGAAGCTGTATGTATCTATCGTAATCCTCGGGGCTATTTAAATATTATTGCTTCGAAAAGGGTCTACGATTATCTCTTATTTTGATATACCTAGAGGTTGAATTCCAATATGTATGGTGGCTGATTGGTATCATGTCGTGCTGTCGAACTTCATAAGGCGACATCACGACATTTTAACCCGACATCACGACAACCAGACAATACATTTTTACCCGACAACACGACATTTTTTGTCGTAATGTCGCGTAAAAGTCGGGTTGTCAGCCATACTCCTTTCGAATACTACGATTATGTACACTGCTGATGGTGTTGGTCAAGGAAGTTCCCCAGTAGTTTGCAGTATAGTTTCTCTCTGTCGGTAGTGCAGGGCTAGGAGCCTGGCAAAGATCACTGTCTAGTTGGGACAGATGGGACAAAAACACACGCTCCTGTGTACGCATTGACGGGCACATAAAAGAACCCTTCACAGTTGGAACTCGATGAAGAAATGCCACTGTCCATAGAAAATTTCCGCCATAGCACAATGCATAGTCCGATCGGTGCAGAAACGCAGAAAAACTGAAATGAAATGGAACTTAACCTCCTACTACTCTGCTCCGGCTGGGCTAATGAAGACGGACATACACCATACAGTGTAGTATTACGTAATGTCGCTTAGAAATATCGTATTGTCGGGTTAAAATGACGTATTGTCGGGTAAAAATGTCGTATTGTCGGGTTAAAATGTCGTGATGTCTGGATAAAAGAGAGGGGGGGGGGAGTTTAACGTCCAACCGACTCAAACTAGGTCATTTCGGGACTGACATGGTTCGATTTTATTTCACTAATTCGGACAAATACATGCCATGCCTTTTCAAAAGACCACTTATTCAAGGTCCTGACAAGGGGTGTCACTATGCGACGTAACAGAAAGCCTTGTAAACTCGATAGTGGGGAACAAAAATGGAAAATCCCGGGAACTGTCTTGGCCAATATTATCAGAACGCTATTGCAACGTGTATAATTAACGTTAATTCGTGTTTAAAATCTATTAATGGAACAATGACATGGCCAGTTACGAAAAATGGACTTTATTATATTTTAATAAGCGACAAATAAAGAAGAGTCACCAATAAGAAACTCCTACAAATAGATACAGTAACCATATGTTTCCTGAAAGGAACTATACACGTACCTTCAACTGGAAGCTCTTTTTTTGTTTCTATAAAGGATTACGGTGGAAAAACTGCATATTGCCATTGGTATCCTAGCGGACATTATATTAGTTGTGTGGAAAACTAAAGTTATATAGGCATTATATTGATGCCAGGCTATATTGTGTACTTATTGTAATATATTAGGAGTTGGACTTAAATTGTTTAAGAACATTATAAAAAAATGTTTAAGCACTTCTTAAGTAGATTTGTGATTTATCCCTTGTTCACAACATGGAATTGAAGATTATGAAATGTCATTCTAAACGTAATGATATTTACATCTTAAGCAGAAATGCCGCTTTCTCAACGTGTGGTGACGGTGTGTATTGTAACGATATAGAAACAAACACGCCACTTACCCCCGCAGAACCTCGAGGTGGGTATGGGGAGAAAGATTCTGAAAGTTCTAAATAGATTTCCTGGTGTCTGTGGCCATTTCTGAAGAAAATGTACTCTTTTAAATGTATAGGCCCACGCCTAGCGCCTAGCCTCTCTACTTGACCTCTCCGGTAAAGGCTCTGCATGAGCGGGGGAGGGGGTGAGTGTAATTGCTATACAAGGATGTAATTAAATGTCGAGAGAAATTTAAAGGCATAATAGATAGCATAGCCTAGATGTCACAAAAGCGGGTGAATTAAATTCGCTCTTAGGACAGCACAGTTTGGCGTTGTAAGATTCAACGAGTTCGCGGGGGGGGGGGGGGTATAAAAGGAGGTAATTAAATGTCAATAATTCTGGTTCTTTGCCGGGATCCAAATTTTCCTCACATTTTTTATTGAGATAAATGCTTTTCACTACAGAAACACATTTTGTATAATGTTGACTACTAAAATTTTGAGACATATGGCTGCAGCGGATTTGATTGTTGGTGGTTTAGTGGTTCCGATGTAATCCATGTCATTTTTGCCAACGTTATCACATATATAAAATTACCTTGAAAAAAGAAATAAACACAATTTTTGGCTAACGTTTTCGTTTCTCTGGAACCTCTTCAGGCCACATTAAAGCTCATGAACAGGTATCAGGTGCCTAATTCGTGAAAATGTACACTACACTATTTTGAAGATGCACCCTTTTCATCCATTAACCAATGGATATGCTACTTTCTAAAAATAATTTTATTTAGTTTTTCATGCCCCCCCCCCCCACACACACACCTCCCACCCATAAACATACAGTCTAATGTGAACGAGTCTAAGTTTGGTATACTAGGAATTATAACTGAGAAGATCGGCAAGAATACAATGGAATACGAGTATTTATTTATTTTTCTTTAGGATTAAAATATTGGTCGTAGTGGAATGATGGAAATTGAGGCCTGACTGTATATGAAAACGGTGGCATAATTATTGATATAATCCTAAACTCGGAAAGATATAAGGATATAATTAGACTGAAATAAAGTTTAAAAACAATATGTTCAACCTATCCATTGAAATTGTTCACGGTCAGTAATTCTCATACTCCGTACAGTTATCTATTATTTGCACTTTAGGTGAGAAAAGGATTTCAATCGGTAATGGTTATAAATCATTTATTATATAAACTAATCACACATACACAAGTTTATGTCAATATCCATCTAAAAAACAAGCCAATGTAAAACACCTTTATTTTTACATTAGTTTTAGGTATACATAAGATTCCATTAAAGCATTTCAATAGCATTTAGTAATTGAACTGATATTACACTGGACATTATTTTAGGGAGTACAATTACTGTTTATTACTGACAGACGATTCGACCATATAATTATGTCCTGTACAAATCCATTAACTGTGATCTGAAGTTGATTAAGATGAATTACTAACCTAATTTATTTCAGTTTGCAAATCTGCTTTTGTAATTGTTATTAGAGATTGTTATAGTTTTCGCCAATAAAATTAAGATGTGACTCGCCAAAAACGTTTTTTTCTTTTTTTCTTTTTTTAATGAAACAGCGTCCATTAATTCTTTGACACGTTCAATTGTGATGTGAATGCGTGTCTGTAATGGTGTTTTTCATTTTCTATGTTTTCAGCATATATGATTCTAGTTCTCTCTGTTTTCAGTATTGGTTGAAATTTACGAAACCCGGTCATATTTCATGGTATACAGTTAGTTTCACTAAAATAGTTTAGTTGTGTGTACGAGCTGGTACATGTACTTCAAATGAACGGAATTAGTACTTGAACTATATTTCCTTCGTGGAATTCGTTTTGTTTTAAAAGTAATTCTTTGAGAAATGGATGTGATTCTTAAAAGTCTTTGCTGGGAATAACAATATTCGATTAATCCAAACGTTTGGCAATAATTCCGAGTGTTCTGACTTCATCATACTTACTCCCTGACAAAAATTCAGGAAAGCTTTCATAACAATATCAAAGGCAGGACTCGGCAACAGAGTTTAATAAATAGCAAGCAATAGTGTTTCGGAATCGAACATGGATGCTAACTGCACCAAAGTTATTTTACCCTCTATCAACAACAATATAGAAGGTATCAGTTTTTCAGTACTGTACACATTAATGAGCTTATTTATCTGTGGTGGAAATATTTTAACAATTGTTGCTGTATGGAAAACTCGAGTTTTAAGAACAATACCAAATATGTTTGTGGTCTCTTTAGCGGTAGCGGATTTGATTGTTGGTGGTTTAGTGGTGCCGATGCAATCCATGTCATTTGTGCCAACGTTATCAAATATTATGAGAAGAAACAAATATGCTTGTATAATTCATTTTGAGATTTTTAACATTTCGGTTTCTTTGTCAATAGTTTTTATGATGACAATCGCCTTTGATCGAGTTTTATATATTGGGTATCCGTTTTTTTATCAAACGATGGTGACCTTTAATAGGGCAAAATTAATAATATTTGCAGGATGCGTATTATCCTTAGGTTTTGGAGCCTTGCCGTTATTATCTTATTCAATGGACGCATGTTCGGCCTGTGCTATGTTTGGTATGACAATAGGCGATTTTGAACTTTATGGAAACTTGGTGTCGTTTGGTATAGTATGCATATTGACAAGTATTTGCTACGGTTATATTTTTAAAATTGCAAGACGACAGAGAATACAGTGTTGTAAAGATAGTGCACCACACGTTATGAATCAGATTGAACACGACATAAAGCTAATCAAGATATATGTTTTAGTTTTCGGGATATTCTTTTTGAGCTGGTCACCAAATCTGTTGGTTGTCATTGTAGATCGCTTTACTGAATATCCCATTCCAGAGTTTGTATTGAATATTACTATTCCGATAAGTCTTCTGAATTCAGGGTTGAATTTTCTTGTTTATAGTGCCAGAAATGAAGATTTTCGGAAAGCATTTAAAAGACTGTTGCTCAGACCTAGTAGAGTTGTTCCAGACAATCCGGGATCCCAAGCATGACTGGTTTCTACTGTAATTGTGCTAAATACATGGTAATCGATTCCACGTAGTTGACAGCTGAAAGAACAAAATAAGCATTGTTAAATCATTCGTCATTCGGTTAGCAGATCGACTTAATTCCATTTGGCATACATTTAAAGATGCATTATGTAAGAGCTAAATCTGCCTATTGCAAGTCTATTGTTTGGCCTCAAATGCTATATAAATTATTAATTAGATTTTATTCACATGACAAGCCCATAACTAACTCTCTAGCCCATGCGATTGAAACAAGATCGACATTTAATAATTTAATTTGAAAATGAATGGTCGAGACTTTGTTTATCATCGTAACAACGGCAGCAATAAAAATCGAGACTACTGTAAACAATGTGCTCAATTTTCTATTTTATAAAATATGAACTATTACTTAGCTGCAGTGAACTTATTGACACCAGCTGATTTGATAATAATATATGATATAGGCTCTTCAACTATACACTCTGTTCTATACATGTACGTACGAATCAAAGACTATCAATTCCACATGTATGGACAATGTACATTTATACCAGTCAGCGAAATAAAGATAACTTGTGAACTCCTTAATATAGTAATGATCTAGTGTGTGTAGACCCAGTTGAAAGGTATATAACCATCAGTTTACTGGTAGTTATGGGAACGCAGACGAGAGACGAGGGCAGACAGAGAGGAGACGAGAGGAAGAGGGTTAGCAGAGACCGGCGAATGGACTCGCCCGAGTTCAGCCGCTGCCGTGGAAGAGGGGCGGAATGTTTGTCTTAATGTACCATGTTAATGTTATTGTTTATGTTCTTAGTGCAGTTTAGTTCATGTTATTATTTATGTAACGGTTTTATATTTATGTTTATCCTATATTTACGAAACTGATCTCTGTTATCACTATAATAGTGAGACACTACGCTATTCTGCAAGCAGTCATAACTTCGTTCAGAATGAAGTAATATGACTGAAATTTTCAATATATTCTTTTACATTAAAGATACATTATGGGAGATTAGGTAAAGAGCTGGCAGTTCTCACTATAATAGTTAAAAACTAGATAATGTAAAGACAATTTGCTGAAAATTTCGGATCCTAATCCAGTAAATATCGCAGGCTAGCGATGACATCGAGAGCTGATTATGGTCTGGATAAGTTAATTAATGTCCAATTAATAATTTAGATAACATTTCAAGCCTAAAGAAAGACCTTGGGCAGATTTAGCTCTTACATAATGTATGTTTAACTATTTTTTAAAACTATTATAGTAGGAACTATCAGCTCTTTATCTTAATCTTACATAATTCATTTTAATAGCTACATTGATTCGTGTGGAATTGGGTAACAGCGCAGAACAATATCAATCATATCAACAAATATAACAGGTATTTATTTTTACTGGCCACGCTTAAATACTGGAAGGATATTTGCAAATATGTTATAACTCAAAGTCATTGGCAGGGTTGTTTTCAGATGTTACTGCAATTGTTTATCATATCCTGCTGAAGAACTGTTAAAATATTTCAATCTCAAATTGCTCTTTTATCTACTGATTGACAATTGGATTCATGATCGGGACACTGGATTCTTATTTCGATGGAATTTTAATCGTTCAATTGCAAAGTAAAATGGTTATGATAGCATGTTTTACATACAATTTAATTACATATGTGATATGTCTTAGATATATTCACATACTTTATTCATTCGGTATTCTTGTTGTTTTTTTTTATTAAAATAATATGCCGAATCATTATAGATTGGTTAATGTGTTGTTTTAATTCAGACATATTACAAGTATTTACTTATCATTCGTTAATTCATTCATCCAAATATGCACTGCTAAAACAATTAAATACCGAATATCTTTAAATACCCTGTTCTTTTATGTTCCTTGCTAATTTAATAAAGCAGGTATATGCTACGTTTACCAGGGGTGGACAGATAAGGAGTCTTGTCAGTGTGTTATGCTCGGGATCCCTAAAGAAATTAGTGTTCTCGCGTAGTTTGTGGTCCCATTTTATACGCCCATGTATATTGTCGCCTCCCATGTCCGTCCGCTACAGGTCACAATTTTTGTCCGATTTTCACGAAACTTGAAATATATAATATGTTTATTACCCAAAGCTCTCGGCTCCTTTCGATATTGGCATATACGTATCGGACCTTAATTTCATGCATTATTGCCCCTGATTGTACGAAGATAAAAATCAAGTTTGTCGCCCGTGGACATTCTAGAGGTCACAAAAAATCCTTTCGATATTGGCATATATCTGACCCGAACTTCCTGAATTATGGCCGCTGATTGTACGAAACAGATTCGTTTTTAGCTTGTGGACCATCTGGATGTCACAATTTTTATTTGATTTCAAAAACCGTTCAAATATTGACCACAGTTACACAATAATTACGATTGAGTTCGTATTTCGTGAAAATGGAACCGGAACTGCCCGACAAAATGGCCGACAAAATATTAATTGGAGTTGTTTACCCTGAACAGTGAGGACCATAAATCAGTCTAATAATAAATCCACTGGGGCATGCAGTGATACTTCTTTATGCGGAATATCTTACGAATCAGCTACTATATATTTGCGTCCGCTTTCACATAAAGTTTACCCTGAACAGCAAATATTTCAAACTATCAGTATCTTTTACCTAGATGACCATAACCGAATTAATAATTTACTGTCTTGTTTTATCATAAGATAAACTTACTTAAATGAGATAATTTGTCGTTTATAGAGGTAGCACGTTTAAAGCTAAGGGTTAATTCTGTGTTGACCACTTCTAGAAGCATAAACTATGTGACTTTGGGGTACTTATTCCAAGAAATAAAAACCAGCGGTTGCCAGGCAAGATGCGCCCACATTTTGCAAGAGATGGATAGAGGACAAGCTTAAAAAAAAGCGATTTTTCGTACAATCAGGGGGGCCGTAATCCAGGAAGTTATAGTCTGAAATGCGTGAATATCGAAATGAACTGAGATATTTGGGATATAACGATATATTTTAAGTTTCATCAAAATTGGATAAAAAAATTGTGTCTTCTAGACGGTTCACAGCCTTGGTATTACATACTTTAACAATGCGTACAAGGAACGGCCATTTTGTAAGGCAGTTTCAGTGCAGTTTTCACGACGAAATTCGAACTCAACTGTCGGTAGGGTGTAACAGTGATAACTTGAAAATCGGATAAAAATTGTGACATCTAAAGGGCCCACAGGCTAAAAACGTGATTTTTCGTACAATCAGGGGCCATAATCCAGGAAGTTACGGTCCGATATGTGAAAATATCGAAAGGAACCAAGATCTTTGGATTACAATCATACATTAAAATAGGATAAAAATTATGACTTCTAGAGTGTCCACAACCTTGGTATTACATACGTTTACACTATTTGCGTACAAGGTGCGGCCATTCTGTCCGACAGTTTGGTTCAGATTTTTACGAAATTCGAACTCACAACCTTCATTGATGTGTAACGGTGATATATTTAAATGTTTTTTTTTTATAATTGAATACAAATTGTGACTTCTAGCGGGTCTACAAGCTAAAGTGCAGGAATTTACGTTCTACGTTCAGATATGCACGATTATCAAAAGGAACCAAGATCTTTGTGATATAAACATATGATCAAAATTGTAGCCTTTAGAAGGTCCACAACCTTGATATACCATATATATACACTATTTGCGTACGAAGGGCGGTCATTTTGTCCGACAGTTTTGATCCGGTTTTCAGGAAATTTGAACTCAAGCATTATTAGGGTGGAATGGTGATATATTCAAACAGTTTTTTTGAAATTGGGTGAAAATTGTTACCTCTATAGGGACCACAAGCCAAAAACGCGATTTTTTGTACAATCAAGGGTCATAATTCAGGAAGTTACGATCCGATATGCGCGAATATCGACAGAAACCAATATCTTTGGGTTATAAACATGTATTTTAAGTTTAATCAATATCGGATCAAAATTGTGACCTCTAGAGGGTTCATAACGTGGATATACCATATTTTAAAACTATTTGCGATCGAGGGTTGGCCATTTTGTCCGGCATTTTTTGTCCGATTTTCACGAATTTCGAACTCAACCGGCATTACGTTGTATAACGGTGATATATTCGAACGTTTTTTAAATCGGATAATAATTGTGACCTCTAGAGCGACCACAAGCTAAACCCGCGACTTTTCGTACTTTTCGTACTATCCGATATCCTCAAATATCGAAAGAAAACAAGATCTTTGGGTTTTAAATATGCATTTCAAGTTTCATCAAAACATATGAAAATTGTGACCTCTAGAGTGTTCACAAGCTTTAGGAACTGAGATCTTTTGGAGATAAACCGATATCTCAAGTTTCGTCAAAATCGAATAAGAATTGTGACCTGTAGAGTGCCTGGCTACGAGAACGTAGCTAAAAACGTTGAGATATACTGATGTGCTCGTTTTTAGCTACGATTGGGGGCCTTTAGTTCCATGTTGGAAACTCAATTTCTTCATTAATGCATGCAACATCTTAAAAATAAGATAATTTTATACTATTATGACTAATTAAACCTACAGAGGCCAATGGAGTGGCACAACTATCGCGTTTAAATTAATGAAGCATTGTTTTTATCCGACATACACCGCCATACATCTCCCGTTTAAAAATGGCTTTAAACGCCTCGATTGTAAATACGATGATTTATACCCGTTTCAGATAGAATTATATGCCTAAAGGTAATTGGATGTGGCAGAAATATTATAAATAACAATAATCAATCGTTGTTTTGATGAACAATATTGTCAATTTCGCTTACTGAGGCCCGATGTGGTTTGCGATGGGCTTTGCTACGTGGAGCTATATAGTACCATATCTTATATCGAAACACGGAGGGTTGAGAGATACGGTTTGGTATCTGTAGAGTGTCCAAAAGCAAATTGTGGATGGACGGGGGCGACAAAAATATACGTCCACATGAAAATGTGGGCGTATAAATATTCATTGTCATGTTTCATGTTCATCACCAGGTAAAACTTCGAACGCGTCCATCATTTATTCCCCCTGGGATTTAGGGGTGACAAGATTATACCTGCCATGTGTCCAGTGTGTCGTAAGAGGCGTCTAAATG